CCGGCTGTCTTATAACGAAGGATCAATAATCATTGACAAGAGGGACACCAATGAGATGGGACTCCACGATCTGCGTAGCAAGATTTCGATTATTCCTCAGGAACCTGTGCTCTTCTCTGGCACAATGCGCTACAATTTGGATCCTTTGAGCAGTATCCGGATGAGAAGCTCTGGCAAGCTCTGGAAGAGGTAAAGTATAGATTAATTCCTCTGGGTTTTTTATGTGAAACTAATATATATGTATTATTTTTACAGGTTCACCTCAAGGAGGAGATCTCGGAGTTGCCTACTGGACTGCAGAGCAGCATTTCCGAGGGCGGAACCAACTTTAGCGTCGGTCAGCGACAATTGGTCTGCTTGGCTCGAGCCATTCTGCGCGAGAATCGCATTCTAGTAATGGATGAGGCCACGGCTAATGTTGATCCGCAAACGGATGGCCTCATCCAGGCCACTATTCGGAACAAGTTCAAGGATTGTACTGTGCTGACAATAGCCCATCGACTGCACACGATCATGGACTCCGATAAGGTGTTGGTCATGGACGCCGGACGAGTTGTAGAGTTCGGTTCGCCGTATGAGCTGTTGACAGAGTCGAGCACCAAAGTGTTCCATGGAATGGTCATGCAGACGGGAAAGGCCAGCTTCGATCATCTGCTAAAAGTGGCTCAGGATGTAAGTTTTTAAATAAATAAAAATTCTTAAGTATTTACAAGTGCATACATGTATTTATAACAATTTTACTAATTTCAGGCCCAAAAAAAGGACAATTAAAACTGGAATTATTGGAAAATTGTAGAACCATATGGAAATCATCTAGACCAATGTTCAAAATATAAAATATTGTACTTAAAATAAGTTAGGAATATGATACTTGTGTGCATGACAATAAATATTTAATTTAAAACTGTTCTGTTCTACATAGTCTGTGCGGCTAGCATTTGGAATTCCCACTTGAATGCCACGAAGTACTGATATCCATTCTAAAGCCTGGCGATTTCTAGACGCGCCAATACGACTTTCCATTTAAAAATAGAAATTGCAAGTACAATACAAATAAAAAGATCGGATTATTCAAAAAATATCTTGTCAAACACAGCTTTATTGTGAATAGGCGTTTAAATTATGCCGTCTCCAGCGAGCGGATGATATCAGAATCTCCAGGATCGGTAATGGACAGCGTGCACACACGGAAGTATTTACCGCAGGCAGTGCCGAGCTCGATGTTGGTGCCGCTGTAGTGCTGGACCTCAGTCTTGGCCAACATGGCGTAGTACTCAATCTCAGACTTCCTGCAATTGACAAAAAATAATTATGTTAGCATTTGATTTAGTATTGAAGCGCCACCATAAGTCATTTGATTTGTGTCATCAGAAAGAGTCTCTAGTAATAAAAAGGATTCGTCAAGGCATTCGGAATCAAAGTATCATCACGACACGTGCTACACTAACAACGTACAGTACAGCACGACGAGTTCTTACCCCCAAGCATCCATCGTCGTTGCCGGAACCATGTGGAAGTGCAGGTAGCAAAGAGTGCGTCGTGTCTGAGGTACACTCCCTGGTAGCTGATGCTTGCGCTGGCCGAGATTGATTGTACTACTCCATAGTTTCCATCAACTCTTTATGGGAATCATACTTCTCAGTCAGCTTTAAGCAAGACTCCATATGGTTCCAGCAAAAACGGCATCTTGGGCGCAATGGAAATCTACTTCTCAGTAGCACAACGAGCTCACCTCAAAGCGGGCGTGTTGCTGGCGATGAGCACCAGTTTGGCCTTGCCCTGGCGCAGGGTCTTCAGGGTCTGCTTGTAGCCCAGGCAGTACTTGCCGGATTTCATCACCAGCGCGAGACGGGCGTTGGTGCTCTCCAGAGCCTTCTTTTGCTTCTTGGGGGCAACCATGATGATAGCTTTAGGCAGTAACTACGAAAGCGAACACTTTAATTAAGTAATGTCGGAGGATTGCACAAAAAACACACCCACCTTCGACGGCTGAAAGAATTGAAAAGACCGAAAGGGAACCGGAAACACGTGAGCAGTGTGACCAGTCCAGCTCACTTATTTTAAAATGGAAAATGGAAAACCTTATGAATCTTGTTGAACTATCGAAATATGTCTTAATTTAAGAAGGGAGAAGTAAAGGAGAATTAACTTTTCATTTATTTCTTTTCCTATACAAAAATAGATTTAAAATAAATAAATACCATAAGGGTCAAATGCTCAAGTACAATGAATTAAGTAAAATTACTTCGGCTCTGTGTATAAAACATGTAAAATATATTATTCTGATAATGCACACCGTGTACAAGGTTGCCAGATAGTCTAGTGACATTGAGAGTTATAAATAATCGTCAATTTACACAACTTTCGCGCAAATTAAAAAAATTAAACTGCAAAAATTATGCGGATTTATAATTCAAGCATAGGATCATGGGTTAGATTGTGCAATCGATCAATGTTTTATAATCTTTATATATGACGATTTTTATTGCAATTCGAAGTATGTACATATGTCTTTTAAAATTTATTAGTTTCTCGGCCTGTAGCAAACCCAAAGTATGTGAGTTGTAGATATAATAAATCGTTATTTTTTAAATGTACATTTTATGGGTAAATCCAAATTTTTTAGCTATTATAAGTAAGCCAATCATTCTGGATTGTTTTTATGTGCTAGTTTTTATAAGGCTAATAAATACTGGGTTTTAAAAATGAAACAATTTAATTTTTTGCTCAAATTTTGACAATTTTAACGATGATTTTAACCCATTATATTTTTTTTAATTTCGAAATTGAAAAGTTTATTTTCTCCCGGATATGGCTAGGTTGACTCGCCTGTTGATGCTGATCAAGAATATATGATTTATAGGGTCGCACACGACTCCTTCACTGCGTTTTGAATTTCTGACTAAAATTATATATAATACTCTGCAAGAGTAAGGAATAAATTCCTAGAAAACATACATTAAGAGCTTGCTGATAATAAATAACCTCTGTGGACCCAACTTCTCTTTGGAAAATTGCTTTAAGAAATATGGTTGGTGGGTAGGGAGTTCGCTAAAAATAAAACCTTGATGAATCATTTTTTTATAAAAATATATATATTTAATTGGAATGAATATTGAATTAATTGTTCTTAGAAATCGTCAAGAAAACGTTCAGCTTGACAATAACACAGAAGCTATGTACATAAAGATCACTCTTAATTTTCCCTATAATTTTTAACATAAAGCTTGTTTTGATTGTCGGATCGCTTAGTCTTAGCATGATGAAGTTACTAGTAAGTCGCGAATAGAATGTAAAATAAATTGAATAAATAACTAAGAGGTTTCTTTGGTTCCCACAGATTGTACTACTCACTGGTCTGGTCACCGTCTTGGCTGCCACTCAATCCTATACCCCAGATTACCAAGCTAGTCGACGCGAGTGCCGATGGATTAATACGAAATTTGAGTGTGTATATCACAATTGTACCATTTCGATTGATGACAAACAAACGTGCACCACCAGGGTAGGCCCACCACCTGCTGATATAGATCAGGAACGTTTGGCACGTCGTACAAGAAAACGCCATTGCAGGTGGAACGGTGACAAACTGATATGCACCATCGAACGTTGCGCTTTTTATCCCAATGGCTTAAGGAATTGCTCTACGACAACTATATAAATTAATATTTGTTTCCAAATAAAATGATTGAAAATTATAGAATAGTTGTTCTTAATATCAAGAATAATATATATGTGGTAGTAGCAACCAGGGAGCGAATCTTATGAATATAATCTTTTAGGGGTCTTTCCTATTTAGTTAGATCATTAAATCAATGATAATATTTCAACATTAATGCAAGACTCTGGGAAACAATTTTCTTTAATAAGACCCAAAATATTTTTTAATATTTTTCAATACATTCTTTTCTTTTTACCGCCTTGAATTTGTTCGTTATAATTCCGTACTTTATACTACTTTATTCAAGACATCTGTAATTGTTTATTAGGCTTGGGTATTAAAGCATTCGTGAATTTGTGTGTGTGGAAAAAACCCTGCAGGCCTTGGATAGCGTTCTGTCAAGCTTTTACGTCGAATTATTGAATAAATAGTTCCGCACGGCGAAGGGGTCGACAGCGTCAAATGAATTATACAACGCTAAGGGCGAGGAAGCCAGCGTTAGTCCGGACCCAGATCCGGCTCTGCAGCCGTGCCCGGAGCCACAGCCGGAGCCATAGCCATAGTTGGAGTCAGAGTCAGACGCAGGCCGGCACGTGACACCCCACATGGCCCACAGTCATAAAGTTCCGCCAGTATTCGTCCTGAGCTCATCATCGGCTTCGTAGCGTGCGTGCGCACTTGACTCGACTCGATTCCAGACAATCTGTGGCCTAGCCCGGCTTATAAATGATGCACAGTGGTGCGGTGGGAGGATGATGGCAGTATGCCGATGGGTGTTGGATTTTGAGGGTGTTATGGGTGTTGTTGGAGTGGAGTGAACTCTCGTCAGTTCGGGACTTCAGCACTTCGATTGTCGGGCTGTAATTCAACGCCATTTACGTGATTCTCATTCCGCTGTCGTCGCCAGTCGTCGTCGCCGCATGCTGCCAGAAATGATTGCTTCCCCGCATCACCATCATCGCATTGCGGGTGGCGGCGCCTCGTCTGGCTGCCCCGCCCATTTTACCCGCCGATGTCCTCCCCTGCGACGCGTGCTGCAGCACGGATAACGTCCAACCTTTGACACGGACCCCGGAAACTCTTCTGCTGCCAGGCAGGCAGGCAAACTGTGACTGACAGGCCAGCGTGTCCTTGCCAATAGCCGAGGGAAGGATTCGCCGGAATCGCGGTGCAGAAATAAGTGGATGTTGCAAATAGAGTTCGAACTGCTGGGTTGATTGGTTAGCCACTTTTTCCTGGAAGATAAAAGTCTTAATTAGTGGATTGAGGTAAGGTAAGTCTTATTAGGTATCTAAGAATTATATTCGGGTTTCGACCTAGTAGGTCCCATTTATCCGAAAAATGTCATGAGCACTCAGTAAGATGCCCCATAACAAACTGGATTAAAATCTAATTTCTCTAAATTTGTCCTTGTCTCCCACTTTTGGTTCCACCTTATTCTCAACAGCAAAGATGGGATCGTATCCTGTGCAGGCAACGTTCGATCGACTGGCCCAACTCCCGGGCGTGCTGGCCGCCATCCTGATCGACGGAAAAGGGTTACCAGTGCGATCTACCTTGAACGACACGGACACCATGAGGTATGCCAACAAGATGCAGCCTCTGGTGACGATGGCACGCAGCATGGTCCAGGAAATGGAGCCAACGGATCAACTCACCTATGTGAGGCTGCGTACTCGAAAGCAGGAGGTGATGGTGGCCACTGAAAACCAGCACACGATCATCATCATCCAGGACAACAAGGTGCTTGACGAGTCCCGGCGGAACAGTATCGCCCAGCAACAGAGAGCGTCCATGTCTAAGAAATAAGAAGCTAAGGAGAGAAAAGGAGAGGTGCAACGCAGTGCGCAGTGCAGCACGTCATGCGGGCCGCATAAAAAAAAGGACATAAACATGCCGCGCCAGCGTAGGGCTCCCCGGAGAAGTCCTTGCACGGACGAGCTCACAAATCCCAAGCACTGAACTTAAATCGTGGACCGAGCAGAGGATTCGCAACCCAAAAGCTCGCCCAAAATAAAATCCACAACCGAGCGGGGCAAATTGTGTGTGTTTACTCTGACCCAAAGGGGTAGTGGATTTTGACATGAAGTTGGGAAAAAGGGATCCTTGGATTTGGCAGGGTTTTCTTGAAATTAATAGTAGGTTGAAGGACTTTCAATAGTATAGCTTTCTTGCAGATAATTAAGCAGGATTATATTTGGCCACAGTAATTATATTTAAAGGTTCATATATAACGGTTTACCTATTATTTTAAAGGATATTTACAGATAAAAATAGTTACATGTAATGATATATCCTCTCAATAAGTATTATTCCCATATTAGTTAACTATTTTTAGCAATTCCATTTACCCAAAACTCTGATTGATTTACTACATCTTGGCGTAAGTTTTATTTAAAGTTAACTAGAGAGCTCTTTTCCAAAAAAAGGCGCACTTCCTTATTACATGTAATTATTTAATATGATCCGCAAGGGTATTTCCCAGACCTGGTATTTATAAAATCCGTAGGTATTGTACACATCTTCCCCCTTGGTTTTTTTTTCTGCGTTCGTTTCGATTGCTGGCAACAACCGGCTGCCGTCACGCCATCAAGCATTCATGCCAGCAACAACACCAACGGCAGGGAACAAGGACCCGCAGAGCAGCCTGTCGCCTGCACACTTACACACTCACCCACACACACACACACTCGTGTTTCAGTCCAACACTCCCACTGCCACATCCACACCCAGAACACGGAGCACCGCCACTCCATTCCAGAACGCGCCAAGCTTTACACGCCTCCGCACGCGTCACGCGAAAGCACGAAACCAATTTAAGCACCCACATTCTCTCACCCAATTAGTCGCGCACAGCTCAGGCTCACCCTCGCACCCCCACAGACACATCCTGGTGGTGACTCCCACTCCTGTGGCCCCCCTTCCGTCGCCTTTCGTCCTTCTGTGCCGCCTCTTCCCACGCTCACACTGTCGGGCTTGTTGTCGAGTAGAGTCGAGTCGAGTCGTTATCCTCGCGTGCGCACGCTGCATACTTTCTGGCTGAGCTCGTTTACAGGATAGCAGAGGGGATATTAGCTTTAAGGTTTGAAGTAGTATATTTCAGTTTACAAAAAACTTATTTTAATTTGTGTATGTATTTGGATCTATGAAAATATATTTTATCCGAAAGAAATGAGATGTTTTCTTTAATAATAATTGATAAGAGGAAGCTGCTTCTGAACTGCAACTGAAGTCTTTATATTAATAAATTTAATATAATATTACTTATAGCAACTTTATTTGCATTTTTAAAGCTAATGAGTATCCTTAAATATCCATGGTTCCCTGTCTTAAATCCTTGTTGTTGTCGTTGTGCCATCATCAGCGCCATAAGTAGCAGTCAGCAGTTGCCTCCGTCAGCGCCAGTAAGTTGTGCCGCCTGATGGTGTCGCTCTCGAAGAGGAGATGGCGGGGTTTTATGCCAGGAGAAGGAGGCAGGCACCAGGGACCAGGCAGCATTGAGCAGGGAGCAGGACCATGGAGCAGGGAGCAGGGTACCAGGGAGCATGGAGCCCTGAGCACAGGCCAGTGGACTGGCATGAGTGGCAGGGGAGCTTGGCGCAGCCACAGAAGCACCGACAACAGCCAGACGACGACTGTGTGTGTGTATGAGTTTCTGGTGGGAATGGGGATGAGACTACGCAGGGGGAACTCCAACAAGCGACACGATAATCTTGCACGTCGCATTTTTAGTTGCTTTTGCTGCTGGCACGGAGTTGCCACACCCACACCCGCCACCACCTCCTCCCACACCCCCATGACTGCCGACGTTGGCTGCACGAATCCTGGAGTCTGGTCCTGGCAGAAAGCCAAATGTGGCAAGTGGCTGATGTTGCTGCCGTGCTGTTGCTGCCGCAGCCTCGCACATCGGACAGAGGAGCAGCGGCAGGGACAAGACTGGGGGAAACTGGCAGGAGTAAAGTTTGCTGGTTTGGAATCCTGTGTCTGCCTTCGGCCCCTCTTCGTCTCCCCCGGAAATGTGTGTGTGCGATGGGGGCGAGCGACCGACAAATGCTTTCGAATTGCCATGACAATCAAACCGCTTACACGTACAGTGGGGTCCATTAGATGGTTTATTGCTGGATGGTCACCAAAGTAGAGATGTAATTGTAGATGAAAGTATTTAATGAGTTTAAAATATTTAAGTTTACACCAATTTAAAAGTCTGAAGATCTTCGATTAAAAGGATTAAAATCAAACCATTTAAGATGGTAAATATGTATATTCAAAAATAGTTTTATGTTTGATTTTCTTAACATATTTCAGACTACGTAGTCAATATTATAAATTTAATAAATCACTTTTAACATTCACTTTTTAAAGTTATTTTAAATATGAAAGGAATACTAAAAGTAAAGAGACAAATAAAATATTATGCATTTGGTAAAATATAGCCTACTTTTCAGCAGCACTGAGCAGAAAGGTTCATTTACTTTTCAAATGATCCAAGTTCGCTTTTTAGATCGTTTATAATCCTGGTTAAAACCATAATAAATTTAGATGAAGAATATATATAGATGAAGGGAAACTCTATGATCATATATGATACTATAATTTAGTGTTACAAGAAATAATAATAATGGAAAATTGAAAACTTAATCTTGAAAAACCATAATAGATTTATATAGAAGTATATAATTCACTTTCTACTGGCATTTCGAGTGAATTAGTGCCTTCGAAAACTTGAAAATTTCATCAGCCATTGCGGCTTTTGCGTTTGTTCTGCTTTGTTGATTCTCATATCCGGCCGGTCGGCTTCAGGTATGGCTTTATCCGGACTGGAGTAGCCCCAATTAATGCCACACCGTGTGGCAATATCAACAAGCGCCTGTTCCTGACGACGCTGCCTCTCAAGAGCCAGAAGACACACTTCAGCCATACAACCAGCCAGCCAGCGCCTTTTTCATGCCGTTGCGCCTTGGCCCGACGTCTGTCCGGGATTTGAAGTGGGGGAGAAGTAGGATCTGGGAGTGGGAACTGGGTACTGGGTGTGCCTTGGGCGACTTCGGTCTGGGCCTGTTTATTATCGCCCATCAGCGACCTCACCCGCCCAGCCCCGTTCCCCCCCTTCGGAGGGTTCCTTTTACCGTCGTCTTCGTCGTCCGGACAAATTCCGTTGCCGCCAACGATGAGGATGACAAATAAAAAAGTTTGGCACGGCACGGAAGCCTGCTGGCGGCATTCGCATAACGATGTCGGTGACTGCGGCGATGACTCCTTCTCCAGCTCCATGTCCTGCTCCCCTCCGCCCTCTTGTGCTGCTCCTTCTCCTGCCACACCGAAATCCTGCTTATGGCCAAAGCTCAGGCCCGAGCCCAGACTGGCGCACTTTTGAAGTTTGAGCTAAGTGACATGCTGTTTATTGTCGAGAGTGTTAAAATGTGCGCCCTGAATCCACACTGTGTGTGTGCCTTGCCTCTGCGTCTGCGAGAGGGCTTAGCACTCGGTGTGTGTCTGAGTGTGTGTGTGTGTGTGGTTGCCACTGTGCGGAGCAAGAAATTATAATGCCAAGCTTGAACGCCGCACGCGCGGTCCGCAACGCCAGTGTCAAAGGTACACAGGAAACACGGCTCCGAATATGTTTAGTCCTTTAGCATTTCAATAATTCAAAAGCGATTTTGAAAAGTCACTGTCAGTAAAATAACATTAAAGGAGTTCTGGGAATTTGAAATCAATTAAAAAGGTGTCAAGAAGTTTGCAGTATGTAATTTTTAATTCATAATAACTAAGCAAAATATATTTAAATATTTTGAATACATTTTTTTATATGAAAAAGTTCCGGTAAGTCAAAGTTTCAAAATCTCATACCTAAGCCAAAAATTCATAAATTTAAGGCACCAGCTTTAGTAATATGTAAGGCATCACTGATATTTACCTATTATAAATGAGCATAAATTTATTAATATTGGCTTAGAAAAGTATAAGTAGATCTTAAAAATTGTAATCATACTCTTAACTTGGTTGTAATTAACCAGGTTCAGAAAGTATCTATGACCAGTAAGAATCTATGATCAGTAATGAACTATGATCAGTAAGAACCAATGAACACTAAGTAACTATGATCAGTCGATAACTATGACCTTTAATTAACTATGAGCAGTAAGTAACTCTGAACAGTAAGTATCTATGACCAGTAATTATCTTTGACCAGTAGGTATCTATATCTGTAAGTATGTTAATCAGTTGCTTAATTTGAACACTAATAAACAATGACTTGCAACTTTTGTAAACAACACATTTCTGAGCCTTGGCCGGCAGAAGACACTTCGTTCCGGAGATGTTAGAACCAGTTGGGAATCATATGTACAGATGTGCGAGATTTGTTTTAGATCAAATTTAAGCTATTTGAATTTAACTATGGAGTTATTAATCTATATAGTTTTGTAGTATATAATTCGGAGCATGGCAAATCGGTGGACTATATAAATACATATATATACCTGCCATAGGAACGATCGGAAAATATTTAGAAAAAATTATAACTTATAACTTTTCCAGTTTTCAGCAGATTTTTATCAAATTTGATATGTAGCTATAGTATATTTATCTATATTTATAATATTGATTATATTTATTTATTTGTGTAAAATTTTATAAAAATCAGACTACTATATCATATAGCTGCCATACAAACAATCGTTATAAAAAGAGGAAAATGCAAAACTGTAAATGTAAAACTGTAAATATAATATGTGTAGGTTAATAAAATGAAAGCAGGAATTACTACAATATACATATATGATTTATACTGTATCAATCCTAGTGATCGGATTTCAATCTGCAAGGGTATAGCTTCCTTTTTGTTTAGGTTAAAGTACCTTAGTTAGTTGTCTTCTTTTCACCCAATCTTTGTCGCAGTGCAACTTTTCACTAAAGGTCCTGCATGTTTCGGTTCACGCTCTCGCCGCCATGCCGCCATATACATACAAACAGACAGGCGACGACGGCGGAATAGGAATGGCTGGCTGCTAGTACGGCTGTGCTATGTAATCCATGGATGTG